CTGAGAGCTTTACATCCTGATCTGCAGGAAGCAGGCAGAGATCAAGAGACAGACTGGCCTGGTGAGGGCTTTTGAAACCTCAAAGCCCATCCCTGGTGAGACACTTTCTCCAAAAAAGCCACACCTCCTAATCCTTCCCAAACAGTTCCACTAAGGATCAAGCATTCAAACGTGAGAGAATGCCCTGCGGAGTCCATTCTCATTCAAATCATCACAAAAGGGAAAGGGAAGACTGTTCACTTTACTTACTTGGCCTTTCCTCTTGCCAAGGAGTTAATTTACCCCACTGCTCCACTGCTGACTCCTCTGCTGATATCAGAAGCAGTTTTTCTGGTCAGCTTCCAATATGGGCTTAGGACCAGTAGCTCTTCAAGAATAGGACCTGCTGAGACACTTTACCTCATCGACTGAGTAACCACTGGGCTCTTGGTCTGTCAGGCTTGAGACTGCTGTTGTTGACTATCCTATTGCATAAGCTGATTTAATAACTGTGTGTGTGTGTGTGTGTGTGTGTGTGTGTGTGTGTGTGTGTACATGCCTGTGTGCACATGCCTGTGTGGGTGCGTGCTGGTTGGTGGGTTCTGTTCCTCTAGAAAACTCTAGTACAGCAAATTATAGAATCAGAAGTGGGATGTGATCTACCTCTTCTTGGTCCACACAGTCTACCTCACCTTTGTAGCTTGCTTAGTCTAAGAGTGGTTATTGGTCTGGTAGTAATGATGGGTGGGACCTGAGGGAAGCAAGCATTCACTTGTCTGCTGTCTACTTCAGGGAAAGTCATTGCCTGTTCTACACACAGGATTAATTCCCTCAGGCAAGTGCAGCGAGCTGCAACACTGCAGGAGGTAGGAATTGGGAAGGGGTGGAAATGCATCCTCTGTGAAGAGTTGGGAGATTATTGCATTCAACAGCATGAGCGCATCAGACCACCTCCAACCTCCTCAGAGTCCTCCTACACAGCTCCAGCCCCAGATTATAGGATCCCATTCATTCTCAATCAGTTTAACTGCAGACATCCTTTTATGGTCGTAATTAATTTGCGTTGTAAGTCAGCCAAAACGTGGGTTGTCTAATGAAGGTTGGGGTTTGGCTTTCTGAAACTTGAGATCTTTAACTACTACAAAGATGACTCTCTTCCAGCGCACACTTAGAAACATTTAGATCGCTTACGACCATGCAGAGTTGGTCAGTTTTATCACCAAAGTCGCTTCTTTTTGCTTACTTTGTCCAGAGATGAGAAAGGGAGCCAGCCAGTGACCTGGTGGCAAGTTGACTACGCTGGGCCATTTCTGTCAGGGAAAGGGCAGTATTTTGTCCTTTCTGGAATAGATTCCTATTCTGGTTATGGATTTGCTTTTCCTATACATAATGCTTCCAGCATGAGGCACAATAAACATTCCATTGAAGTGGAGGCTAAAACTTCCTCCTGGACACTTTGGGCTCATAGTGCCCTCAAGTCAACGGTGTTAGGTGGTGCCATTGATCCAGACTAACGGAGGAGAATTGGACTACCTCTCCACACTTGGAAGGATCTAAGAAATACAATTAAAGTCACTGAAAAACTAGAACAAACCAATGCAGGAAGGATGATAGATGGCCTAGACCCTTTGAGGAATGAAGATTTGAATAAACTCTCCAACTAAAATGCCAAGACCTACTGAGGTGCTTACTGAGAGTGGAAGAAAAATGGGAGGCATAAATACCAGCTAAGGTCATGTGACCAGTTACAGAAATGAGGATTGCAACTGGCATGTTTTTATCCTATGTGTAGAGAATACACTTATGCATATATTAAGGAGATGGTTGTGTTTTATTTATTATGTCATGTTGATTGAGACATCAGTGGTTGTATTATAAAATTATATAATCATATTTAAGCTGTGGGACACTAAAAGACAAAGCTCTTCTCAAGGGATTTAGAAGCCAAGTTCTCTGATGCCTAGAACATTATATCGTCAGCTCCAGTTGCTGGTCATCGGAGCGGCAATATTTTGTCTTTTCTCTGCTGGAATTTCTTTTGCTTTGGTGTGTTTGTTCATTTGCTATGATTTTCTTTTTCTCTTTTGGAATAAGGAGTGTAATTTACTTGGTAATATAGTATGCTGAAAGAATGTAGTTTGTTCTTTATACATCCATAGGAGCTTATAGTCAAGAGATTTGGGGATATCTGGGGAGCTTTTAAAGTTAGGCTATATTTGGGGCTGGAGAGAAGCCTCAGCAGTAAGCGTGCTCACCCAGGCTGGATTCCCAGAACCCACACGAAGGTTCACAACCATCTCTAACTCCAGTCCTGGGGGATCTGACTTCCATCGGCACTGCCCACACACGACACACAGAAGATATATGCAGGCAAAACATCCATCGATATATAATAATTTGTTTTAGACTATATTTTACATTATAAAATAAACACAAGACTTTGGCGTCGAGGAGTGGAAGGCTGTGGTTTCTGAGGTGATGTGTTTCTGTGTCAAGGGATGGGCTGTGATGGTTTGTTTTAAATGTCAACTTGTCACATGTAGAAGGGACCCATTGTCTACATTAGGTCACCCTAATGTAGGGTACATCCGTGAGGAACTGTCTGGATTGCCTTAACTGATGTAAGAAGACCCACCCCAAATGTGCGTGACATTTTTTTTCACAGCTGCCCAGATAGAGAGGAAAGAAGACCCGTTTGCTCCTCCCTCTCACACTGAGTTACATTCACGTTGGCTGCTGCTTGCTCCTTCCCTGATTTTAGAACCAGCTTTTTCCAGGCTCCCAGCTTGGGTTGAGAGCCAATGGCTCTCCAGGAACCCTCCAGGCCCTTCGCCATTAGGACTGGGGAACAATGGGGTTCTCAGGCTCTCTGGTCTAAGTCAGCCATTGCTGGGCAACTCTGCCTGCTGAGGCTCCTGTCCTAAAGGACCAAGCGACTAACGAAAGCTACCAGGTTCTTCTCAGCCCCCTTGAGTATGAGAGAGCTGCTGTTGAACTATTTTGACAATATTGAGTAAAACCATATATAAGTCCTGTGTATATGTTCTATTGGGTCTGGTCCACTACTGCAGTGGTTCTCGACCTGTGGGTCCTGACCCCTTGGGAGGGGGGTCAACCAACCTTTCCAAAGGAGTCACATGTCAGATATCCTACATAGCCAATATTTAAATTATGATTCATAGCAGTGATGAAATTACAGTTATGAAATAGTAACAAAAATAATTTTATGGTTTTGGGAGGTCACCATATCATGAGGAACTATATTAAAGGGTTGTAGCACTAGAAAAGTTAGGAACATGTTCTAGAGAACCCTGACACACCTCCAACTGAGGAAGATTTTTCTAGATTAGTAGTTACTTATGAATATGGCTGCGCACATGAAAGGAAGGGCGGCAAAGGTCAGTTTGCTCAAAAGCAAATGACTCTCAAGCTGCTGTTGAGGCACAAGCCACCAGTGCCCTGGGTCTTGCTTTAAGATCTATTAGTGTAGGCTTGTCTTCCTGAACAATGGTCTACAATGTAAATGGCCCCTACTTTGGACTTGAAGTGTAAGCTGGTCTGCCTCAGAGTACGGCCACCCCCAGACACTGAGGTTCTCAGAAGCCCCCAAGACCACTTGGTATGCTAGCCAGGAGTATAGTTTCAAACTTCTGTCTCATCAACCCACTCCCACAACACCTGACCCAGGATCCAGCACATTCCACACGTAAGACATGTACATGAGGGACATGGCTTGGTGGGCAAAACACTTGCCATGTAAGCATGGGAACCAGAGGTCAGATTCCAGGACCCATAGATCAGTGAACTCTGGGATCAGAGGGCAACCTCACCTCTATATAAAGGAAAGAAAACACCTCGCATCAACCTTGGGCCTGCATGTGCTCATGCACACATGAACAAGCACTGGCACACTATGTGTGCCTACATACATGAGAACACACACATACAACACAAAGACATATACAAAGTCAAGGGTACATAAAGGGACCCTCTGTGAGGAGCTTGGGGACCTAGGTCCTCCAGCCCTGTGAGTTGTGGAGACTCAGTCTAAACCTTGAGGCCTAAGAGGTTCTAGTTCCTTTGACCCTTCCTTCCTGTACTACTGCTGAGCCTCGAGCCCACTGCCTCTGGCTGGCTCCAAAGAAGGCCTCGGCTCTGCTAATCCTGATGCTTGGGCTGCTAGGAGGTGGTCTGATGCCACATCCCTGGCAAGAATGAGCTCTGACAACTCTGCTCTGCCCAGAGCCACAAGCTGTGTTCCCCAAAGGGCCTCTGTTCAAGTTGATGGGACTTCATGCTTCACGGCCTTTGAATAGAATCTTCTGTGTCTAGGATTCCACATACAGCCCACAGTTAGCCTTCTGAAAGGAATGAACCAGACAGAGCTGGGGACAGGTGCTCTGGCCAAGAAGGATGCTTCAAATCCAGAGTAAGACCCATCTGCTTACATACTCAGATATCCTTGACACGAGGCACAGAGCAGCTTCCAAACACTAGAGCTGGGGCTGATGGCCAAGGAAGACAGACATCAGGGACAAAGGACAAGCAGACACTCAGCACAGAATGACTTCTGTGAGGCTGAATCAGGCTGCTGATCCATCAGGCATCCCTACCGTATGATCTTCCTGTCATGCTACACAGAGCCCTAGTGCGGTGGGCCTGCTGCATGGTAGTCAAAGCACCAGGAATCCTGACGTACAGACCCTTCTCTGACTGTTTAAGGCCTTTCCAGGCATTGTGACCTGTCCCATAGCATAGCAGGGACCTAAGAGGGTGAGAGACATAGCCCAGCTGTGTCACCTGTAGGACTCTAATGCAGGAGAATATTTATTTTCTTTTCTTCTCCAGAATTGTGCAGAGCCACAAGACAGCTGGAGTTATCCCCAGAGAAGCAGTATGAGAGGAAAGGGCTGCATCTTCCCAGCCTGGCAGGGAGTAAGCCAGGGACATGCAAGACACTATAGGTCACCTGCTACAGAATAGAGAGAAAAATGTACACCTCAATACACAAGGTGGGAGCTCTACTTCAGAGAGGACATGAGGGTGGCTCCCCCGGGTTTCAGATGCTTCAAGAAGGAGACATCTGGCCTTGAGGTCTCTGAGTTCTTCGGGGCAGACCCAAGGTCTGTGGTGGTGTAGAAGAACTAGAATGGACAGGAGAGGCTGATGAAGGCCTCAGGAAGGAGGTGGAGGAAAGGGGCTTCAGGGAGGTAGACCAGTTAGAGGGTGATAGTCCCACAGAAATCATGGAGAGGGAGGAGTGTGTGGCAGCAGGTGAGCTGCCAGCTGCCATGTCTGTGATGATCTGACCCCGGAAAGACTCCCTTTCACTCCGGATATCACTGGCCACCCAACGGATGTGCCGGCCTTCTTGGTCCAGGATCTTATGCATCAGGAAGTCAGGCTGTTGGATCGGCTTAAGGTCGGTGAAAGACAGGCATTGGTAGACCTGAGGAGAGATCTGGGAGCAGAACAGAAGGTGAGGGCTTGCAGGAGCTGGCAGTACTGGAGATCAAGAATGGGCTTGCAGCAAGGGAGTACCCTCAGTCTTCCCATGCAGAGTAAATCTCTAGTGCTGTGGCTGCACTAAAGACCACAGCTGTGGGCCCCGCACAGCCCTCAGCAGGCCCGCCTCCCCACTCTCTCCTCCTTACACTTTTCTGTGAGGTGGTTCTGGCACCAGGACTTTTCTGAACTTTCAAGCAAAGGCATGAGTTAGACCTCAAGTGGGGCCTGACACAGAGCTCCCCGCACCTGCCTTAGGTCTCGCATTAGCACTCCCCAAGCTGGGCCTTAAGCAACCTCCAGAACCCTCTCATACAAACCTGGTATACAATAGGCATGTAGTCTTTGGCATCATGAGAGCTCTCATAATACCCTGAGTCACATAGGTGGGAGAGGCTAGACAGGGTGTGTGCAGGCAAGAGATGGAGTTTGACTGGCTTGTTAAGGTCTCTGGTTTCCCCTTCTCCACCTCAGAGAGCCACTCCTATGTATCACCACTTGTGCACCTGGTGTACCCATACACCTCATACCTACCCTTTATCATCTACACTCATGGGTACGAGGGGCAGTTAATCTGTAAATGAATAGCTAAAGACTGTAATGGTGCCTAGGCGCTACAGACAGAAAAGGCCATAGGAGGACCACCCCGCCATAAGTCCAGTGACCTGTGTCTGAAGGCCTCTGATGGCCCTGACCTCTCAGAAGCAATCTCTCTTCCTCACCTGCTGCCTCATCCAGTTAAACTGCGCTCTGGAGGTCAGGAGTTTGGGGTTCCGAACACGCACCTTGGGCTTGTATGCAGCTCCCACAATTCTGCTTGCCTGCATAAGTCACAAGGGAAGAACAAAAGCCAGAAGCCAGGGTCCTCTTCCCTCCCCAGACTGTCCTCACCTGTTTATCCTCAGTCCATCGGTTCCAGCTCTCCTCGATGTCTTCAATAGAAGATGTTTTGGCCCATGGGGATATGAGGGACATCTGCTTTAGCCTGGACCATGCCTCAGCTTCTTTCTCAGCTCTCCCGTGCAGAAGGGCCATCAGTGCTGCCTGCTCGCGTCGCTGGTACACCAGAGCTTCAGCCAATTCCTTGCTGTGAAAAGCTTCCTTCACAACATGCGCCTCCCACTTCACTTCCATCTGCCCCCCACTCATGCAGAGGACCTTCCCTTTCTGGGTCTGACCTTCTCCAACCTTTCCTGCCCTGCCTCCAGGCCCCAGGACTGAGCAAGCACTGTGTAACATGAACAAGGCCCAGATGTACTGGTCCAAGATGCTCTGTGTTTCCGTTCATTCGAGCTCAACTAGACCTCCCTGGCAGGATGTTTAAACATCCCCAGCCCAGGGAAGCTCTGTCTCACCTTGTTCTCTAATCTTCCATAACAAGCCTGCCCCTCCAAAGAGAAGTTCACCTCGATGAAACCACCGACACCATAAAGATGCCATGGGCACCTGAAAAACTCCTACTCACATGTCAAAACCAACTCTGCAATATCTCCCAGGAAGTCTTCCTCATTTAATCCAGTCAGGTGGCCAACCTCTGAACAATTACTATATTCCCAACAATTATCAGATGAACCTCAGCTATAAATTTACATATCCATCTCCCCTTGTGGTTTCTCTCAGGTTAGATCTATGTGTGATGGTGCCAGATATAACCAAAGGCCTTGTCCTGAGAGGCACCGAGCCACAACTCCAGCCATCAACAGATGAACGAGACAAAAAAAAAAAAAAATCGAGTCCCTCTGTTGTAGCTCCGGCTGTCTTGGAACGCTGTAGACCAAGCTGGCCTTGAACTCATGGAGATCGGCCTGCCTCTGCCTCCTGAGTGCTAGAATTAAAGGCATGCAAAACCATGCCCAGCAATTTTAAAAAAAAAAAAAAGTGAAATTTGAAGAATAAAAATGTAGTGGGAAGGAAGCTGGAGAGAAGCAATATCCGGAGGAACAGCCCTCCCTCCCCCACGCATCACATGTCTGCTCAGGACCTTGGTAGGCCTGGGCATCCCCCTGCCATGTGGTAATGACCTCTACAGATGCCACTCTGCGGGGCTCCATCTGGGCTGCTCTTCCTGTTGTCATTTAGTCTAGGCTCCACTCCATAGTTACCTGGCAACAGCCAAGTGTGCCTGACTCACTATAAAAGGGGCTGCTTGCCCCACTTCTCACTCTTGCTCTCTTCTCTTCTCCTCTGGCTCCTTTACCCTCTTCCCCCCTCCCCCTCCCCCCATTCCCCTCCCGACCTCTCTCTCCACATGCTCATGGCTGGCCTCTACTCCTCTCTCTCTCTCTCTCTCTCTCTCTCTCTCTCTCTCTCTCTCTCTTTGCCTTTCTCTGTCTCTACTCCCTCAACTCCCCTCCCCATGCCCTAAATAAACTATTCTATACTATGGCTGGTACCTCAGGGGGAAGGGATGCCTCAGCATGGGCCCACAGAGGCACCCCCTTCCCCCACATCATACCTCCAGCACCACCACCAAACATATTCCTGGCCTTTCGTTTCTTTTTATAAAGTACAACATTCCTGACTGCTTGGTTTTGGCACTGAGACGGCTGAATGGGGCCACAGGTTGCCTTCAGACCCTAAACTTACCACCCCATACCAGGCTGGGGCCAGGGAGCCCCCAGGTTGGCTACAGGGACTCACTCCAGCTCTAGGAAGGAGTGCTTGAGGGTGGCACCAGTTACGTCGAGCTTCTTCTCCAGTCTTGCCACCTGTTCCAGTTCGTCGGTCACCGTAGCCTCTTGCAGTCTGTTCCAAAGATTCAGGCCAAACGTTCCTGTCATGAGGCCAGACCCTGTTCAGAACCAGGTCTCTAAACCCCACTGCCCCGCCACCCCACCCCACCCTCTCAGCCGAACACTGAGTGCCTGCCTCGTGCCAGGTATCACACGCATCACGCCTCTAGACGTGCCAGATTCCTGTCCTGGGAAATACCTGGAGCTCAGTCCTAAAGTGTCCTGGGCCATGTGATGGGAAGAACACTGTGGAGAGGGCCCAGTGACCCTCAGTCAGGTTCCCAGCAACTTATGTGTGAAATGACAAGGGCATAAAACGGCTGAGGCCTGTCTAGGTGGGATCTGGGATGGAGCAGAAGAGAGAGAAGTCGAAGTCCTGCTCTGGTCCTGACATAGATGACCCGAACTCAGTGATAAAGAAAGAACCAACTTCTGTGAGTTCTGATCACCATGTGTGTGCAGTGGCACAAGCACATCATGCCATGTGTGAACCCACCCCTCCCCAACACACACAATAAATAAATGAAGGCAGGCCATTCTCCTGCTATGGAATTGTGAAATGAAGAAACAGAAAAGATACAGGTTGTGAAATCCCATTTTGGAGAAATTACCAAAGAGCTGTAGCAGCAAATATTGTTAGCATTTTGTCTAGGCTCCATCCCACAGTTACCTAGCAACAGCCAGGTGTGCCTGACTCACTATAAAAGGGGCTGCTTACCCCCTCTGCTCTCTCCTGCTCTCTGCCTTCCTACTCCCACTGTCCTCTCATCCCTTGCCCCCTCTCCCTATCCCCCTTCTCCCTCTCTCTCCACGTGTTCATGGCCTCTACTTCTCTATTCTCTCTCTCTCTCTCTCTCTCTCTCTCTCTCTCTCTCTCTCTCTCT